GTGTGTGTGTGTGTGTGTGTGTGTGTGTGTGTGTGTGTGTGTGTGTGTGTGTGTGTGTGTGTGTGTGTGTGTGTGTGTGTGTGTGTGTGTGTGTGTGTGTGTGTGTGTGTGTGTGTGTGTGTGTGTGTAATTGAACCACACACATCACAATCAGAAGTGTATACTTTTATAAGTACCCTCCATATTACTTCCTCTATCTCACTATTACTCATTATCATCTTGTCCTCTCAGGACCACTTACCTCCGTGTGTATTTGTGTCTGCATGTTGTTAAAATGCTTTCTTTATCAGTGGAAGAGGCTTACATAATGATCAGAAAAGCTATGCAGCCACTTAGAAAGATGCATTTACGGACCCTGAAAGTCCACATGTTTTCACTCACTTTGAATGGGTCAAGTTGGGTAAAACTGGTCTTGTCAGAAAAAATTATTTGAGTAAGACCACCATTAAGAAAAGTAATTTGTACTTCAATGGATATTACAATATTTAAAAAAAAATATCTTCTTTGCTTTTTTTCTGTCGCTATCTTGATTTTTGACACAAGAAGGTAAAGCTTAGTACAACTAATAGAGGAGGGAAATTAGGTGAACAAAATGTTACAATTAACTTCCATGAATTAAAACACACTGCAAAAGTATTTGAAAACACAGTGGTAAAGCTCACCATGCCTTATTGTCTATTATACTCTAATAGTGTGTGTGTGTGTGTGTGCGCTAACGTTTTAATTAGGCCCACGCAAATCCTTATCTCCTCTCTCCAAAAGCCACTATAACCCACAAGCACTCGACAGCACTTAAAAAAAGCTTGCATAATATCACGGCTTTGATCGAAACAAACACGAGGCTGCACACACACACACACACACACACACACACACACACACACACACACACACACACACACACACACACACACACACACACACACACACACTAACACACAGAGTAGAGAATGGACATGCATACGCAGCTTGTTGTCACAGGTGTCAGTACCCAAAAACCCTCAAGGCCTTGTTCTCCGTAGTCCGTACTGTAAATGACCTTCAGCTAAACACATACGACACACACACACACACACACACACACACACACACACACACACACACACACACACACACACACACATTCCTGATTCCCTGAAGCAGAGCAGATGCTGCAGTTAATTCTCAAGAGTCTTGTTGGAAAGCTCTCTGGAGGAATAAAATCTGCTCTTTCCACTAATCACATAATCAGTTTAAGAAAGTGACCCACACCTCCTCCGTGTGTATTATTTCCTCCTCCTCCTCCACCTCCACCTCCTCCTCCTCCTCCTCCTCCTCCTCCTCCTCCTCCTCCTCCTCCTCCTCCTCCTCCTCCTCCCCTGCTGCCTTACTGTTTGTAGAATCATATTAGTGCTGGAGTGTTTGGCTGTTACAGGGTGATTCTCCTTTCTGGATCATCTCACAATTTGTTATCCTCTTGGTTTCACTTACACACACATATAAAAATGCGTACCTTTGAGACAGTAAATAGAGAGATTGGAAAACGTAAACGGGTTTAACATTCAGTGAATGTGATGGGTAGAACTGCTCTCTATTAATTGTTATGATTGCTCTCTGTCACATTCAAGTGTTTACATTCTGTCCTACGTTTAATGTGCAGTTTGCTCTTTTGTTTCTTTGCTAACTTATTAATCATTAATAATTAATCAGTGGTGGAAGAACTACTAAGATCTCATACTTAAAGTGGACCTATCATGCTATATTTGAACAATATATTGTAGGGCCATACCTATATAAAATATATAAATATCGTTTTTTTTTCAAAATACCAAACAGATCCTGCATTTTAGCCATGCCTCATTTCGCTCTATCTGCTCTTTCCAGCCCTGTTTTAGCAGGAGCTGATTCTGTGAAGTAGCTTTAATGCAAATGAGCTGCAGCTGACCACGCCCCCCTGCAGGAGAGGGGAGCATGCTCTGAGATCAGCTGCTGGGCTGTCAGAAGAGGGGGAGGAAAAGAGATCTCCGTCCTCCGTGTTTTATTCTTATATATGTCTATATAGAGTCATTATTCATTTGTTTTAAAGCTCAATAAATAACAAAGAAGACCTCTGACCGGCACTTTTCTAATTTTGTCCGGAAGATTTAAACTTTAACGGACATGTTGACTAAATCTAACTGAAACTCTGCCGCACGGTCCCCTCGTCCCTTGGAAGAGGCGGAGAGGTGGGTGTTTGTCATCTGCTGGTGGACTACCAGAGTGAATTACAGCGAGGGAGGGATTGCATTGCATTACAGCAGCGGGAGCAAACGCTTGCCTCGGGGAGGGAGAAAAAGAGCCACAGCGGAGAATAAACAGAAGGGCAACCATGGCAACCATGGCAACCATGGCAACCATGCGCGGGAAGTCTTCTTTGCTGCTTTTGTGGCAGACTACAGCGCCACTTACAGGCCTGGCATATGTACTTCAGCGTCTCCAGCGCTTTCGAGCGGCAATGGCCGGCCGTGGCCCAACCCCACATTCCCCTGATAGGTGGAGAGTTGGCCATATAGGCGGAGCTCCTCGTTCCTGACGTCAGAGAATGTTCAAATCTGTATCAGTCTGTATCAGATCCGTTGCAGCCCCGTTTTTAGAGATTTGGGTATGGAGGAAAAGAGAGAGGGTTGTGTTTTCTGACACTTGGTGAGTTCCCTGACACACCGGGGACACATATTCATGTACAAAAGACGTACAAAAGTGCATTTTGCATGATAGGTCCCCTTTAAGTAAAATGTTCAATTGTTGTCGAAAGGTAAAAAAATGTAAAAAAGAAAAGTCAGAGTAGGCTATAGTATGTCGAAAAAAGGTCATAGTAAAATATGTCGAAAAGTTGAAAAATGTCATAGTATAGCACGTCGGAAAAAAGTCATAGTATACACTCAGAGATGGAGTACTCGATTCCTGGACTGGATTTTCGGGACTCGTGACTCGACTCGCGCACTGATTTATGGGGACTCGAACTCGGACTTGTGAATTCTCGCTCACCATGACTCGGACTCGTGAATTCTCGCGCACGATGACTCTGACTCGTGAATTGTTCACCCATTGACGCTCCGACTTGGACTCGGATTCGAGCAAGTTCTGTCTGGAGTCAGATGTAGGATACTCTGTCCTGGCGTGTGCACCTGCGAGGCGAGTTCACGTACTGGGCCCCGCTATTCCAGTATAGAGATGTCCAGAGACACACCCGCATCGTGCTGTATGCTTTCACACATTCTGCTTCCACATTGGGAAAGAGCAGCGCAAAATGCTCGTTATGTGGAAAAAAGATTGAAGAGAAGGCTCCATAACACATTACTAAGAATCGAGTTCAGACATATAGGCTGTCTTGAACACTAGCATCAGAGTAATGTGATCTAATCAATAAATAAATATTCAGCCGATAACACGAAAGCACATGGCTACTTAACATGCAGAATGTCATCATTTTGCATGCTAAGTAGCCATGTGCTTTCTGGGGCTTCATCTTTATTGATAGAATTTAAACATTCACTATAATAAGTGTAACATCCCCGGCTGAATGATGGTCAGACTCTCCAATTGATGGTATCTGTTTATTGCACACCCTTGCTTGTATACAATCATTGCCAACGTGAGAGCTTGTGCCCTTATCAGCCAGATGCTAAAAACCGAATGCAACTATTTAGTAAATGTTAATTTTTTCGTCATCTATCCGTCATTATACATGTGTGTTGACACTGCTCCGTTGTCCATTGACTTCCGGTAAAAGTTCCTTCAAAATAAGAGTCCCGATGTTATTACTATCAAAATAAAAGTGCAAAACGAAAACTTTACCATAGGAAAATATTGGCATACAAATACAATCACTTCTCTAAAATGTAACACATTTTAAATATAGTTAGACATATTAAAGGTCATTTACAATAATAATAATAATAATATTAATATTAGTAATAAGCTTTATATTTGTATAGCACCTTTTATACAATAAGTGTAGCCAAACTCGCTTCACAGCAGTTCAATAGACACATTAGTATAACATGACAGGATAAAAGCAACGTAGAGGAGCTGCAGCTAAATTTCAACAAATATATCCACTAAGATTAATACATGAAGACTTGTGACTCGGACTCGACTTGGACACTCCTTTGGTGACTCGGACTTGGACTCGAACCCAGGTAATGATGACTCGGACTCGACTCGGACACTCCTTGGGTGACTCGGACTTGGACACGACTCAGACTCTCCCTATGACTCGGACTTGGACTCGGACTCGAAAAGTGGGGACTCGAGAGTGACTTGGACTCGTGAATTGGTGACTTGACTACAACACTGGAATAGAATGTCGAAAAAGTTTAACAAAAAGTCATAGTATAGTCACCAAAAAAGTCCTCGTAAATTATATCGAAAAACAGTAATAGTATAGTTTGCCGAAAAAAAAGTCATGGTTTGTTCATAGTATATCACAGGGGTACTCAAACTTTTTTATTAAAGTTAACGTTCAAAATGTTGGACAATTTGAACTCATTGACTCCAGAATATTGTAGTTTTCACCAGTCCTGGCGTCCGTGCAAAATTATACAACTTTGTCAGCGTCCTAAAGGCCTCAAAAACAGGAAACGCCAGCAGAAAAATAATAATTCCACCAATAACAATAGGTTCCTCGCACTTCGTGCTAGGACGCCGTTGGGTCCTAGCGCTCCGTGCTCGGGCCCTAATAATAGCAATAATAATTGAGAGGGGGGCGCGGCTGTTCTTATGTTCTCTGAAGGGAGGCTCACCTTCCCACACTTTGAAAACCCCTGACCTATGCTATTTCGTTCATTTATATTTTGTATATTTTAATAATCTGAATCTGCAAAGTGACTTAAACTTTCAAATATAAATGTAGTGGAGTAAAAAGTACAATATAGGCTTTCAACATGTATAAAGTAGCATGAAAATAAAATACCCCCGGTAAACAACTACCTCAAAACTACTTAATTATACTTGGGTAATGACCGTGTTTTTTGTGTTTTCAGAATGCCTACGACATGGCGGAGCTGCAGAAGTCCCTACAGCCGAGCCCGGCCCAGTCGGTCCAGTACTGTCGCTCCAGAGCTCTGCACCACCCTCCCCCTCCTCCCCTCCACCACCACCACCACCACCTCCTCCTTCACCAGGCGCCCCCGGCCCCGCCCTGCGCCCAGCAGCTGGACACGCTCAGCCGGACCACCTGCTCCACCACCCTGCCCCCCTCCGCGGCCTCCTCCTGCTCCACCGCCACCTCCCACACGGCCAGCCTCCGTAGGGACGTCCCCCCCACCAGACTGCCGGCGCAGGGCCAGGCCCGCCCCTCCCAGCTGGCCCGCCGCTCCCTGTCCTTCTCCAGCCAGGACCTGGCGCGCTACCTGTGTGAGATCATCCGCGATGCTGACCAGCACCCGGACACGGGGCCCTTCGACTCCCTGCAGGTGTTCTCCACCGAGGGAGGGGGGTCGCCTGCCGGCTCCCTGAGCTCCTTCAGCTCGGCAGGGCTAGATGGAGGGAGCGTGGGGGATGGGGGTGGAGGAGGAGGAGGGGGGGAGGGGAGGAGGGAGGAGACACTCGGGGAGTGGGGGCCCCGCTTCGAGAAGCTGCGGGCCCTGTACGAGCGGGCCGAGGCCAGCGACCTCTGAGCTCAGACACACCAAAACTGACGGGACCCCCGACCCAAAACAATCAATTAGCTTAGCGACAAACCGAGGGCGGGAAAACAGCGAGAGACTGACTGACGGACAGAAATCGCTACACCCCCCCTCAGTCGCTGTGCTGCTTTTACAGGACGATGAGCCCTGTCAATCAACCGGGGGCCTGACAGACAGAAGGAAAGTGTCCCCGTGCAAAGAGCTCTCCCTCAGAGGACATCTGTGCAGGAGCAGACATTATCAAACCTGCCCGTCAGGTTCTCTTGCCGGTCTACTCATCATGACGGAGCTTAGCTTCACTGTCACAAAAATCTGTTCCAGTCACTAAAACCTAAATTTGTTTCTCCAACACTCATTGTTCGCTGCTCTGGATGAGTGTCAGCTGAAACGATCCGGCCTTTTTTAAAGTTTTTTTGTACCTGAGCAAATCAGTGCCAGTTGATATTTTTAGCACCTTGCCGCTGAATATATTCTTTGTAAATTAACAAAGCACTCCTACGTAAACCCTCCTCTGCACTGTTACACGACAGTACGATCATTCTGACTAGCCCATAAAATAGTTTGCTGTAGCTATATTGTGGACACGTTGAGTTCTCGCTGCCTGGCTGTGCAGCTTCTGTCAATGTTTCTGTAAGATTTGTTTTTAAAAGGTGCTTGGACCAGCACTGGGTTGCAGGGTGAGATTATTATTCCTTTCTTCTGGTATTGTGTCCTGCACTGGGTTGAGTCATTCTGTATTGGTTGGGTGTTTCAAGTTTCAACGCTGCGTGGGTTGTAAGACATCAAGCTTCTACTTACTACTGCACCCTCGTCTTCATGTGATTTCCTATTCTCATTCACGCTCCTCCACCACGTGTTCCTCCTCACCCGAGGGAGGGCGCACCAAAAACTCAAACGGCTTTGTTACAAAGAAATGAAAGCGGACGTGCGGACTGCAGGAGGGAGGAAATTCGCTCTGTTGCTGTGTGGCGCGAACGCTCTTCCTCAGGCATACCAAATGTGGTGTCTGCAAGACACTATTTAACCAGACGATTGCACGGTGGAATACAAATACAAGTCAAGGTGACAACTCAACCAACTGAAAGAGCAGGGCTAAATAACGATTACATATTATTCAGAGCAGATTCCTGTGCCATACACTTATCCATTGTCCCTTTGCTAAATTACCACACACTCTTCTTGAGTGTTTACAGAAAATTGGAAGGAAATAATAAGTGTGCAGTTATTATCCAAGCTGCGAATTGCCAGCAAGTGTTCCTCTTGTTTGGCTTCCTTTTCACATAAGCTTGATGGGCCTTTATGTTGACGATAAAAAAGACTTCATGCTGTTGGGGAATAATTTGTGTAAAAACATCGAAAAGGTAAAGCAGGACGCGGAGAGTCTTTTTACCCCCCACAGGAGAGATGATTACTGGGTAGAGGGTTGAATCAGGCCGGTCTCTGTGGTGAACTGAGCACCATTGCCACGTTGTACGGTTGCACATGTTGCACTTAGTACGGTGGCCAACAGCTGCAAACGCGCTGCACTTTCAAAATACGATGCAAATAAAAAAACACAAATCTGCCAAGACACAAAATGTTCAACGAGTTGACAACATGCACTACATTAAGAAAACATTCACCAACAAAACATTTTCAACGTTAACTGAAAGCGCTGCAAGTAAAAAATGCTGCAAGAAGCTCAAACCACACAGAAAGGGGGACACAAAAAAGTGACGCACACAACTGGGACCGGAGCACTTGTTGACGTTCGGGGATTATGAAGTTGGCTTACTGTCACTGAAAATGTACATGAGATGTGTGTTGTATTGGCTTATTTAAAAAAAAATTATCGCATAAGTCTTCCGTTATTATTGGAGATCTGCTGTTAGCTAGCTAGCTAACCTAGCTAACCTAGCTAACCTAGTCATTTCAAATATACTGACAAAACATTTACAATTATGAAATAGACTAACTCTGCCAACAGTGACAGTTGGCTAACTTTATAATCGTGAACCTAAACAAGCTCCGGTCCCAGCTGTGCATCACTTTTTGGTATCCTCTTGTTACTGTTGTGTTTTGAGCTGCAACGTTTTTTGTCTGTAGAGTTTTATACTTATATCATTTTTGAACCTAACAAGCGCGTTTGTTACACCGCAAATGGCATACATATGAAAATGTTTGCTAGTCTTCCTGCAATCCTCCCAAAAGCCATCCTTGCTCTCCTCGCTGTATTATGCTGCGTTCATTCTTCTCTGTCGGCATAGCGGTTAAATGGAAGGAGTGTCTGAAAATATGTCAGGCCACTTATCCTAATAGGAGCTGATGGCTTGCTGTCAAAAAAACAAAGGATTGCGGGGACTTTAAAAAAAAAAAGGCAACAGAGGGGACGATTGACAGATTGAAGCTTTCCAGAAACTTGTATTTTCTTAAAGACGAGGCAATAAAGCAGCTTTTAAAAATAAGAGCCTTGGCGGTGGAGGTGTAGCACTCTGGGGGACGATGCCTGAAAGTAAGACACACAGGCTTGTTCTTTTTTTAAAGACAATGGGGAATTCCTAGATGGGGATGCTTGTTCCTTTGTATTCCTCTGCAGGAAGGGTGGAGGCGCTACATGCTTCTCCCTCTGCAGCTGGGAGTAGCGACCATTCATTTGTACCATAAAGCAGCTTTTAAATGTTGTTTTCCAGGTTGCAGACATGTTGTGAACAAAGTCAATGTTTTTACATCATTTGTAAATACTAAGATAGATTTAATTATTGCTTTTGGTTAATAAATGGCCACATACATTTAAAATGTGCAGCTACTGAGAAAATAATTTAAAACATAACAAACATATCTTTTTCATCATGACGGTGATGAGCTTTGGACAGTTATGTAAGTGTTTTGTATTTGCTTTGTTGTTTTTCTTCTCAATAAATTCATTTGTTTGCACCAGAGACTGTTCTGAGTCGTGACTGCCGCTGAAAAGCAAGGGTTTCAAAAAGTAATGAAAGACAAGGACATGTTTGAATAAAAACTTGTATTGATCAAACTGCCATAGAACATTAATGCTGTTGGTATCTAACACTGGCGTTGGAGAGCATTCCAACCTAACTCATGTATCTTACATTTCCCCTCTATAGCTGCAACATGCTCGACATGAGAACACTTTTAATAGCAGAGTTAACATTTAATAGTTTATATGATTGCTGATATGAAACATTTCCTGCAGTAGAAAACACAGCGGAAACACTTTTAGTGGCTTTTAAGAAGAAACATGGAGAACATGACCAAGGCTCTGACATACATAACAGAACAATATTTATTTTTTCAAATAAACACAAAAGATGCTGGTTTCCACTATTGACAGATTTCCAAACACAGAAATGGTACTTTATGTGAAGGTGATGCTTTAGGGTCACATGTGGCTCTTATGTAGCGTTCAAGGTGCATCAGGTCTGTGCGTTTCTCTCAGTGTGCACCAAAGAGCGGCTTTCACATCAGCCAATCAAAAGGTACCAGGAAGCTCCTGTATGAAAAGCCTGTCAATCAGGTCCAATGTTCCCACAGTTAATCCATAGTGCTATTTAGACTCTTAAACTCCATGTGGACATTTCATATTCATAAATAGTTTCAAAGTATTTACATTGGCTCAGCGGGTTGCATCTGTTCGTGTTACTTATGGGAAATGGTTTGTCTAAGACTGGCACATGCATCATAACTGCAGTTCATCATGAATGATCTAAAAGCGTCAGCACCAACATGCACACATTCAAATCTATATGGACAACCATACAGATAAGAGCCTGTAACAAAACACACACTACACAGACTGTGTTCTACTGGCAGGCTTTTTGGAACGGGGTGCACATAAACAGACTTTGACACTTTGGAGGAATTTGAATGGCTAGCATGTTCTTGAACTTCAAAAAAAGGCCATAGCCAGGAGACCAAACCCCCCCGATTATTTTTTAATCTGTTGCTAATCGTCATTAAAAAAAAAGATAGATAAGATAGATATATATCATAAACCTCAAAGCAGTTGTTATTGACTTACTTTAAAGATGTTCTATAACTAAAAATACATTGAATGAATGCATATGAATTGGTGTACACTTCCTGTGTGGTCAAACATTTCTATTTTATTTTGCCAACAGACATATTTAGCTAAATCTGTTAGCTTGGGCATTTGCAACATGTTCATTTTGACACATTTTGACTAACATTTGGACAGATTTAGCAACAGTTTGTTGCAGAGGCTGACTTTAAATATTATAGTGCAATTTGAATCGTACAAAGTTAAATTCTTTCCTGATTTGTCTATACTGAAAAACGACCATTTAGTGTCAGAATGTTCGGTAGTTATGGGATTATGGGGCAAAAATAATTCTTCTTGATCTTTATTCACTTTTCCTGTTGGAGGGAATATATCGGATGTTGGCGGCCATTGGGTTTGGAAGAAACGCCAACACAATAGAAAAAGCGAACTTAGGTAAGGACTCATTTGCTAGGAATCCTGGGTACGTTACACCTTTTTTAAAACTAGATCCTGGTTGACCAAAATGCTAATTTGTATTCACTGCAGCAGAAAAAATAGCAACAACACTAATAATAGTACAAATAAATAAAATAACATCCAAGAACTGCAATATTTAGGGAGAAAATATCCTTTGTTGAAATTGTTTCAACACAATAAACACAAGAAAAGTGTGTCTACAAACGTTTGGCCGTTTTCCCAAGCGGAATTATGATTTCAAGTAGCTATATTTGTTTCGACTTGTTCTCTAAAAAGGAGTCTAATGGCGCATTTCCACTGCAGCGGGGTAGCCCCGTACAAGCGTCCCTAAGCGTCCTTGCTCAGGCCTCGGGCTGCCTCGCTGGCCGTCCGAGGCCGTGGCGCATTTCCATTACAGTTTAGGACCTGGGGTAGCAACGCAGTGTAGGCGGGGCGATCGGCTTCACATTTCGAGTTGTTCCGTCGAGCTCCCGCTGGATTTGATCATCCCCAATGAGATGTAGGAACGTCGTCACCTCCTCGGTCGACCACGGTGTGCTTTTCTTTGACGTTGCCATTTTTGTAGCTCCTCCGTTTACAAAAATGCTGTGTATAAAAATGCTGCAAGCTTGCTTCTAGATATATATATGCGACGCTAGGGATGATCTCGCGCGCGATCTTGTGACGATTCTCTCTGACCAATCAGCAGTCGAGAGTGTTGACGTCACTAGTTCAGCCCTGGCCCTGGCCTGATAGAACCATTATTTTATGGGGCCGGAAAAAGTACCCGCTAGCCGGTGCTACGCTATATGGAAAGGCCACCAAAAACTGGCCTGGCCGCTTGAGGACGATTAAGGACGCTTAAACGGGGCTACCCGCTGCAGTGGAAATGCGCCATAAATGAAGCGTTGAGCTGAATTCTGCATATGCACACAAGTTAATGGATTTCCTCATCCCCTTTTAATGAAGAAAAGCATATGCAGCCAGCGCGCCTCCGAATGAACTACTAATCCCAATATGTATGGAAATTAAGAATTGCGAGACCCAAAAAATTACATTAGTACACTCTTATTAGGCAAACCTAATGGAATCACTCCGCTCACAAATAAAGCAATCAGACATCTTCTAAATTAAACTTCCAATGTGAAGGCGGGACTCATGGGGGGGGGGGGGGGGGGCGGCGGCAAGTAATGCTGTGCCATACTGATCCTATTGGTATGCATTACATTGAGGCGGCGCGGTTGACGAACAACAACACTTTGAAAAGCCCCACAACAACTGAGTGGGAGTGTGCGAGGGTGTATATCATCAAAGGCAGAGAGTCTTATTAACAAGTGTACAAATATAGGCAGATGTGGAGGGGGGGGGGGGGGGGGAACGTTGGTGTCGCACCTCGTTGTAGCAGGAAGCTCCGACTGGCCACCTCCATAATTACCGACACAACTCAAGCCTTTCAATCACCTCCTCTCCTCCACCTTCTCTTTGGTTCAAAAGAAGAGAAAGAAATATAGGAAGTGTTTCAGATCATTGTGTATCCGCTCTCTGCTGTTGTTTAAACATGAGCCTTTTTCCTGCCCTCCCCTCTCCCGCCTGCTCCTCCCCACTTTTATTTTCCAACCCACAAAGCCTCAGTGTGATATGCAAGTGTTGCCGCCCCCCCCCCCCCCTCTCTCTCCATCACAAACAATTTTGGATTGCGGCGGGGAATCAGCGCCGTTGTCAGCCTGCTGCAATTTTCTCACCACTTCCATTATTCATGTATGCGTGTGTGTGTGTGTGTGTGTGTGTGTGTGTGTGTGTGTGTGTGTGTGTGTGTGTGTGTGTGTGTGTGTGTGTGTGTGTGTGTGTGTGTGTGTGTGTGTGTGTGTGTGTGTGTGAGAGAGAAGAGGGAGTGAAAAAAGGTTGAGGCTGCCACTGATGAGAATCACAGAGCCGACAGCAAGCACAACAATGTAAAAAATATCACTTGGTACCAGCTTTGACCTCAGTCTTACAGCAAACACACTTTTAAGCGGCGGTGCTGACGGTTGCCACCCAGCAGGAATTGAAGCTAACATCGTTATTTCCGGTTTGCATTCGGGGGTAATTGATAACAGCGGAGACAAAAGTTCAGAGACAAAACGTGCCAACAAAGTCCTGGCTGAGTGAAGACATAGCTCTAATGGTCGATGTGACTTTCCTCACTGATACACAGCTGAGTGCACACAGGATAGCCTACTATTACCCAGTCCGTTACTGTCGAGAAATGTGTTTCAACAGAAATACTGTGGGGGCAGTTTGCTCAGTTGTCATGGGGAAGAATCTGTTCCATCCCTAGTCCTAGTTGTGATAAGTACAAATTGGCCCATTAGCAACCAAGCTAGCAAGATTTTTGCCAGCTTTTATTTCCCCTCTTCAATAAAACTCAAGTGCATGTGTAATACAGGCAAAAAAAGAACACACAGTACAAAGAAAGGAAAAAAACAACTTCAAGTTACTGGGACTGACTAGCGCTAGCTTGCGTGGCTAGAGTTAGCAGTTAGCAGTTAGCTTGCCAGCCACAGTAGTTCACCAACTAGCCCCCCAAGTAGTCTAGAACAAAGATATTTCTTAAAAGGACACACTTTTATTTGCTTTGTCCCTTTTGTTGCTACTGAGACTGCTTACAGACAGACCCATTTCCGTGAACACCGAAACATTTCAGTTAAAAGCTATGAAACAAGCTAGCAAACTGCACATTATATAGGAACTGTTTTGACAAAGTAAGAGATATCTCATCCATATTTTTACTTATAGTTTTAATGTTGACATTTAACAAAGAGCTCACTGCTTCAGTTTGAAAACTGTGTTAAAATGTAGGACATTAAAACACTGGAAGTGTACAGACACATTTAGATTTACTGATATCAGTCTTTGGCAACTTGCACTTTCCAGAAAAGAGTATTATTGCCATTTAAGAAAACTGAAGCTTAATTATTCTTTTATTTTCTTCCTTCTTTTCTATGGGAAAGAAGGGCTCATGGTTCTGTGGATGTATAAATGATCAAGTTATTTGTAACTTACTTCTAATTTCAATGCAACATTTCATAATAAAAATCAAGATTTGTCTGATGCTTCTGAACCCCAAATCTACCCTGTTTGAGAGAAAAAAATGATGCTTAAAATGAAAAAGCAGAACTGAAACTTAAATGGAACTGATGATGGAACACTTGTGGTGTTCGGGCCCTGCTCACAGGCCTAATACTTGTTTCTGTGTCTATTCCTCTGCACCATCAGAGATGGGGGAGGGCAGTGGGAGGACGGGGGTGGGTGGTGGGAGGCAGAACAGCCCAGAGCATGACTCCTTCAGGTGCTTCTACACTCTGCTAACTAAAACAATGCAGCCCCGAGCCTGAACCGGCACACTGCTCTAACAGCACAGTTCACAGAGCTATCTGTTCAAATAATAATGGGCATGATCACAGCTGGGCACAGTGCTGAGGGGAGGCAGAAGAACAGTGAGGACTCAGGGCTTTTATCTCTTCTTCTGCTCCGTCTCTCCCCCTCCGGCCTCTGACCGCCTTTCCTCTCACAGAGCCTGATCCTGCTGCTGAGAGGTGCTGGGCTCTGGCGAGCTCTTGGTGCTTTTCTTGCGTTTCTTCTTGACCCGGTAAACATGGAAGGTTTTGTTCTGGAATGTTCTGGTGAACAGAGCAGTGTAAGAGACGGCGTCCGTCTTGACTTCCTCGCAAAATCGAGGATGGGTGGCGGGGACGAGGTCCTGGTCGTTCTCCCCGTCTCCGTCCATGATCTGATGGAACACGGAAGGAGCATGTCAGCACCAACAGCAACAAGAGGTCACTTTATGCTGATGATGCACGGATAACTGTAAATATGACGGCCTCAAACATGCTTTCTTCTATTTTACTTTACAACTGTGTAACTTAAAAACATTTGAATGCTTAATGTTTACCTTCCTCAATTTCAACCTAGGTTTCCAAAATTAAAAATACATTTAAAAAACTGGCCACTTATAGAATAGGGCTGACGTCCAAAATGCAAGTTAAGCTGCGTTTCACCTCTGTATCTCCAATAAAGACACTCTCTGGCCTAAAAAATAACTACAACAATTATAATATATAAATACAAATAACAAATACAAAAATAAAATACAACATTTTCACAACCTGAATTTCGATATTTTGTTGGTTTACTAATATCTGTTCTGGACTCCATTTTGCAGTTCCAGAGAAGACATCAATTGTACATCCTACATAGTTAATGACAAAAGACATGACCAAATGAACAGTTGACTGACAATGGAAACCAAGTGCGCAATGTTTCCAAAACACCATGAACAAATCCCTATCTTTAAATGCTAACTTCAGTGTCTGTCAGTGTCTACAACACCGTACCACCTTTGAAGGATCTGCTTTAAAAGAAAGAAAGAAAATGAAGGCCAAATCAGAAGAGAAAAAAGAAAAGACAGAGACACAAATAAGTACAAAAAGAACAGCATTTTTTCAATAAAGCTGTCAAGATGTCAGATGTAGCGTCTGCTTTACACCGTCAAAACAAAAACACAGTGGTGTTGTGTTTAATGCGTCTTAGCCAGACATCCAGACTGAAGCCTCTGCTAATCCAAAGAGCCAGCACCTGACATCAAAATAAGCAGAGATAGCAACAGCAAGAGAAACTATTGATCGTTATGGAGGCTGAAAGCTTTCACCCGGTCACAGAAGTTGTGGCACAGTCACAATGAGTCACGGTGTATAAATGCCACCCACGTGTCCGTTGGCCAGGTCCAGCAGGTCCCTCAGTCTGCAGCCTCTCCTGTGCCTGCGCTCGTAGCAGATGCTGTTCTCCAGAACCACGTAGTCCGCCCCCATGGCCTTCATGATGTCATAGACTTCCTCCGGGGAGCGCCGCGCGTACACCTGATACACCTGCTCACACACACACACACACACACACACACACACACACACACACATACACACACACACACACACACACACACACACACACACACACACACACACACACACACACACACACACACACACACACACACACACAGACAGAAGAGATTTGCTTAGGATTGCTTTTTCTATTCTGAAGATCCTCCTGCGTTATAATTTGACTCCAATATCTTTGAAAGGAGAACAAACCTCTCTGATGGAACTCAATTACCAGACACATTTATATTCTGAATTACAGTTTTGATGAAAGTCGGTTTAGATTAAATTCTGACAGGTTTACGAAAAATAATAATTGGGGAATTGAAAACACAATCCGAGGGGGGACAAAAGCTAAATTGTTAAACACAGCTGAACTTTCTGAAATCTGTTATGGTTCATATTATATTTGTGGCTGCTGAAATGAAACTTTTCACCACTTTCACACAGCAACAAAAAACACAAAATAAACAACATAAGAAATGAATTGTTTATAAGGGACAAACTCAGCCTAGTAGCATTTTGTGAATAGGATTTAATTTGAAAGAGGGTTGGAACTTTGAAGTGTCAAAATCTAGCTGGAAAATGAATGATGAAATCTCTCCCTGTTACTTGCACTTTAAACACCCGTTTTCTTAGCCTTCCTGTTTCCGGAAACATACTTCCATGTCCAAAATTGCAATGCCTACTTACTAATATTTTAGCAGCCATACCCAAAAACATGTAGAAATGTAACAACAGGGATGCAAACTCATCAGGTATGAAAAAGGTTCCGATTCCCCCAAATGCGTCATGATGGCATAGAACAGTTCGTGGTGGCGAATTACTTGGGGGTCCCGGACCTGATGGTATTGTTTTTATGGTCAACACATGTCATGAAAAGGTGCCAAGACATAACAATACATTTATCAAATATTGTTCCAGAGGAAACTAATTACTAAAACACTGTACCTTAGTTGTTACAATGTTTGTAATCAGTCTTTTGTGGTTTTGTTACATTTTCATGAGATTTCAGAGTTTTGGATATTACGTTTTTTTGTTTCAAATTCTTAAAATACGGTCAATATTGGAGTAACACACAGTAATGGAAGTGTATCGGTTGGACATGTTATAACAGACAGGTAAAGATCAACAATTGTTCATTTTACTTAACAAACTAACAAATACACTCTTCGTCATTCTAGATGAGCTCTTTAAGGAAATAATAGCCTTTTTTGATAATGAAACTTATAATGATATGTCTGTGACCTGTTTTAACACAAATCATCTTGAAACTAAGAGCCACAGGCAAGATAGGAAAGTGTTAATGTTTTGGGACACGGACTAATGCTTTGTAAGTTATGTTTTTTTCAAGGACATTTAAGAGATTCCTGGAGAAAACTCCCTCCCACATTTCATTTTTCAGCGGCTTTAGGAGCCATATTACTGGGGAAAGTGTGTAATAGTACACTTTTTAAAAAATAAACAGTTGCTTCCTAATTTAGAATGAATGCCTGCTGGGTATGTGCATTCATTCCAAAAGTAGAATAATACAAAGGCAACGAGAATAACTGTTCTTTGCTCACTAATTAATTATTTGTAGTGACACAAATTAAGACCAGAAAAATACTGCAATATCATAAAGGTCATTACAGATGTTTGAAAATGCAATTTATAAAGTTTTGTCCTCAATACCACACACACACACACACACACACACACACACACACACACACACACACACACACACACACACACACACACACACACACACACACACACACACACACACACACACACACACACACACACACACACACACACCAGAAGCACAGTGTCGTGGATAGTTAATGAGCTCCAGACTCAGCCCAGGCCTCGCCAGCGGGAAGCAAAACATAGGCTTAGCCACCCAAGAGATGACCCAGACATTACCTCCTGCTCATTGTGCACACACACACACACACACACACACACACACACACACACACACACACACACACACACACACACACACACACACACACACCAGAAGCACAGTGTCGTGGATAGTTAATGAGCTCCAGACTCAGCCCAGGCCTCGCCAGCGGGAAGCAAACCATAGGCTTAGCCACCCAAGAGATGACCCAGACATTACCTCCTGCTCATTGTGCACACACACACACACACACACACACACACACACACACACACACACACACACACACACACACACACACACACACACACACACACACACACACACACACACACACACACACACACACACACAGCATGCAGAAAGAAAACCACCAACAGTAACTAATTTGCTACAATGTTTTTCATCGATCCTTTGTGGTTGTGTTTACAGCGTGTTCTAGCCTGTTTTTTGTGATCAGTCGTTTTGATTTAAAGTAAATCACAGTTACTGAAGAAGTGTATAGGCTCCACATTTACTGGCCGGAAAGTAAAGGTGAAATTGAGCAAAAATATATGCATTTTGTGCCTCTACAGTGACATGTTTGCATGCTTTAATGTTCAACAAGTTCTTTATTTTTCTCATACTGCCTGGTTTCTGTCTGAAACCAGAGCCCAGTCTGCTCTGATTGGTTAGCTGGCCAGCTCTGTTGTGATTGGTCAACCGCTTAGGGATGTTTCTAAAATGGCCTACCCCTAAGCCTATCACGTCTAATGTGTAGGAGCACTATCCAATAGAGTGTTACATAGTTACATTACATTACATTGCATTTAGCTGACGCTTTTATCCAAAGCGACTTACAATAAGTGCGTTCGACCAACGAAATACAAACTTGAAGAAAACAGTATCATATAAGTACATCAGGTTTCATAGAGCCAAAACATTTCAAGTGCTACTCAACTGGCTTTAGATAAGCCAGCCCTCATTAGTATATAAGTGCTTTGTTAATAGTTCTATCGCTCGAAGTGGAGTCGAAAGAGATGAGTTTGTCACTATGTTTACGGAAGTAAACAAAGGAGTCCAATGGAGGCATTTCAGGTATGGGGGGGGAGTGTGTGTGTAGAGAAACTCCCTCTGAAAGGAAACTTTGGGATTGTAGCCTTGCAGTCCATTGTCCAAACCCATACTACAAGAAAGGGAAAACCCAAAAAAGCATAATAGAGCCTCTTACAAAAATATGTATAACAGGTGAAACTAGAGAATGCAATTCCTGAAGAAATTGCTAGTGGGAATGCTTTATGCTGAAAAGCTGACGCTGCATTGCTATGCTGAAATGTAATGTGTCAGAAGAAAGTGAATAATTTAGATTGAAATGATACATGAACACTGGGGGCTTGAATGTGTGATGAGAGAAGAAAAGAAAGTAAAAAGGCTTAGAAAAGCAGCAGAATATTTGAACTGCAAACTTTTGAACTAACTTGATGGCGAATGATCTGTCGCCATGCCAACAGCATTTGATGACATCCCATAATACGCTTAGATATGTTGATGGCTGCATCGTTACCAAACCTGTGAAGTTTTGGGCCGTTTGGAGCATTTTCACTGAAGTTATGAGAAAACCGTGTTTCATGGCGAGCATTGTGTTGCCATGGCAAAGGCATTTGAAGAAACCCCATAATTGACGTAGAGCTGTTGAAGGCTGGACCGGTGATATACAAGTGAAGATTCGGGGACGATTGGACTGTGTCCATTGGAGTTACAGCGACATCGTGTTTCATGGCGAGTGTTCTGTCGCCATGGCAACGGCATTTGATGACACCCCATAATACGCTTAGATGCGTTGATGGCTGCATCGTTACCAAAAACCTGTGAAGTTTTGGGCCGTTTGGAGCATTTTCACTGTAGTTATGAGAAAACCATGTTTCATGGCAAGCATTGTGTTGCCATGGCAACGGCATTTGAAGAAACCCCATAGTTGACGTAGACTAAGATGCGTTGATGGCTGCATCGTTACCAAACCTGTCAATGTGACATCATCGTGTTCCATGACACAGGTGTTTATATTTGAGCTAACGACGACAGCTGTGTGTCATCAATAATGTATAAAATAGGTGGAACATGTTGAAGTCAGTATGAAGTCTCCATCAGACAGAAAAGAATAGGCTCAGACAGTCTGTTAAAGTCCAGTGACCACGTCGTTAGCTCAAACACAACACCTGTGTGTGATGACATCATGTTCCATGACACAGGTGTTTATATTTGAGCTAACAAGGTGTGCAGAGATCAATGGTTTCCATTGTTCTGAATGAGAGATAAACCTCTTACATGCAGTGTTGGGCAAGTTACTTCCAAAATATAATATATTACATATGACTTATTACTGTCTTTTGAAAGTAATAAGTTACATTACAATATTACTGTCTCTGAAATGTAATGAGTTACACTACTTTTTTAGTTACTTTCACCAAAATAACCGTAAAAGAATGGCTAGGTATTTGAAATGCTAAAATGTAGTTTAGTGCAGCTCATTATACATCCAGTGAAGGGCAATGTGGTATAGCATAACAACTGTGTAGGCCCTTAACAACTTGTATTACACGGCTTAGTTGAATACTGGATTCTGATTGTAGCTTCTTAACATGTGACACGTTGTTAATACAGCAGTACAGACCACTGTCAAGGACTATAATGAAGGTTGCTAAGGAGGATCAAGAAAGAGAAAGGAAAAGAGGTTAAAAGACGGAGCGCTGGACGTCAGATAAATCACCAGAAGAAGGCAGACAGGAAGTAAACAATAACAGGACACGGAATGGGCTCTGTATTTTGTTTAGTATGGCCATGTACAGGCCCGGTTCCAGAACAAAATGACTCAGGGTGCCTCTGAGGTTACAGGGGGCGCAGCAGTAGTAGGTTTACATGAGCAATAGTGGCCGGCAACAGCAATGAAAAATAGCATTGATGGTCCCCAATGAACAGATTATGGCATTTGTTATGTTTTGAAACCAAGCAAGTGAGAACATTTCAAGTGAGTTAAAAGTGCAATCCTGAAATATTTCATATAGTCCAAAGTGGACTGTGGCAAAGAAGTAAGTTTTTAGCGCTAGTATCCTGTTAG